ATGGTAATAGGACTGAGTGGATTCCAGTTCGGTCGGTAATCGTACGAGTGATAACAAAATCGGACGACCACCCAGCGGGAGTCCGATTTTTTTCATCAAGAGTATGATTACAGACCGAATTAGACTACACGAAGTCTTATTACCAATTTATACCAATTTATCATAAAAATAACAATTTCCATGAAAAGAAGAATAGCCAAGTTATGAAAGAAAGGGAAAATCTGCAAAAAGGACTGATTGGTTGATTTACACTACAACTATTACTGTGATTGGCGTATTGAACTGTCCGATAACAACTTGACGAGTAAATTAGCAGAAAATAGGAGTTTTTTAAACCAATCACAATCGAAGAAATCGTAACATTTATGATTATCGATGTAATAATAATCAGAAAAGCCACACAATGTACTAGCTTGTATGCTTTCTTATACCTCTGAAGCGTCTACCATTTCCACACTGCATTTCCTAGCACAAAATACGAGTAAAATGCACTTAGGTCAAAAGAACGAAGTAACAAGGTTGAAAGCGTTCACTATAAAAAAATTCACAACTTGAAATTAGAAGACGAAGCAAAGCTAGTTAAAGGGAAATAAAATCTTGTTATTATTTTTAGGCTTTGCCTAAGGCTTTTTAAGGAATCTACAGACGCCGTGGAGGAGACAACGAAAATCATCAAGTTATCCTATCTGGTTTTTTGACAGCCCACGTTCCGTATGTTTGAAAAAGAGCCAGGAAAACTGGGTCGAATACACAAAGTGAAGGCTATCAGAAAACCCCTCCCTTTGAATAAAAACAATCAAGCAAAACAAAACAAAAACAAGAAAATGATCAAAACAGAAATCGGTCTTACGAGTTTGTTTTGAAAAATTTTGGTAGAAACATATAAAAAAAGAAGAGGTCAGCTAATCTAAACAACACAAACCACGAACAAGTCTAATCCACCTGTTCGGAAAGGTTTTGATGTCAAAAAAAATACTGAACACGGGCTGTTACGAACCATATTAATTCAACATTTAATCTCGTAAGTTGTATGCGAGTGTTCTGGTTATGTGACAAAATAGTTCCTTTCATTGTCTCGTCTGGGAATCTTAGCAATTCAAGAAAATGACTTGTAACTATTTGCCACTTCTACATTCTTAGATCCTAGATTTTTCACACAAATGCTCAAAGCAAGTTCGTGATACTCCTTGGCCTTTTCAAAGTTGCCCGGTTTGCGGCGCACCAGACCCAAGTTATTGTAACTGTTTGCCACTTCTACATTCTCAGGTCCTAGATTTTTCACATAAATGCTCAGAGCAAGTTCGTGAT